CCCCAAAACCCCAAAACCCCAAAACCCCAAAACCCCGATTATTTTTGAATTATTGAAGGAAATATTAGAAATGGGCCTGCCTTCTCTTATAGTTCCCTATTCCAGCTAGTTTTGAGTGGGTATTTGGATGGGCAGAACTTCTTTTAGGGATAATCTTTGAACGTGAACTTGAGTAAGAAGGCTTAGTGTGACATGAACTCATCTTGGTTTCATCAATAAAACTTCCTAAAGAATCTTTAGTACGTTTCAATGAGGGCTTGCTTTCAAATCCTGATTCTCAATTGAGCGTGATGTTCCTAACCTCGTACTCATAAGGTTGAGACTCTGCTATAGGATATACACTCTTTCGTACCTCTCGCTGATTGCGCCCTTGATAATGGATTATCATGTTTTTGAATATATGATCCTTTCTTCCTTGAAAAAGTCGGCTTTGACTTCTAAACGATCATAAAATTTCATACCTTAATGAGATTCGATGAACTAAAATTTTGAATAATTTTTGTATCTATAATTATGTGGCTATCTTACTTTTTGATGCATTGAGAACGCTTTTTCTCTCAACATTATCGAATTTAGGCTTTGATCTTGCTCAATGACTTCTACTGTCTTCGCCTGTATGGGAGTACCTTCCATATCTATTGTCCATTATTGAATTCACAACAGATGCTGTAAGGGTATTGGTCTTGTTTGATTTTTCAAATACAAATTGGTTATTCTGATGTTTCGTTTTAATTCTTGACGAAAACGATTTACTTTCATGATCAATGTTCAGTCTATTCAGTTTTGCAATGCTCGCTTGTTCTGAATAAGTAGAGTATTTTATGTTGCCATTCCTACTTCTATCGATCATAGAACTATCTCTGTCAGAAGTGTCTGTTAGTTTCTTGTTTAAGTGCATATTGGCTAATTTAAGAGTTGAAGTAAGGAATGAGTCCTGCATTCTTGAATCAATAGTTCTATCAATCGAGTTATTTGCAATCTTTGCTTCCAACATTGGTGTCTTGCTACCCCTTCGATGATCGATGGTTCTTAGAGGTGCATAAGAATCTCTTTGTTGATTCTGAGGTTTCTTTATCTGTGCTTTGCTATGGCTGAGAGGCTTTCTTAAATGCTCAGTTTTCTATGTTTAAAATTTCTTCTTACCACAATTACATCTGAATCGATTGATGATCATGGGTCGAATGGACTATTTTGAGATATTTTGGAATTCATAAAATCCATCATGGTTCCAGGCCAGTTGTTGCTCTCGAAGGATAACTTCATATTCGTCATTGTTTTAGTTGGATTTGACTCTCTGACTTCTCCTCCAATAGACTTATTACAGCTTAGATTCCTAATATATGAATTTGTATTCCTTTTCTCTTCAGCTTCAGCCATTAATTTTGGATTTTTGCTCATTCTTGTAGTCCTATTAAAACCAAGCTGACTATTTATCCTGTTATAGCTTTTAGAGTCATTTAAGGAATTATCTCTAGACAGGAACTTCTGCTTGTGAAGATAACTAGTGCTTGAATTATTGAAATGACCCTAAAATGTGAATTGGAAATTACTGATCTAGGTGGAAGCTTGAAAGTGCGATTTTGAGTATCCCTACTTGTCTTACTAAGATTCTCAACCTGTTTTGTTGTGTTTACTCAACACATATTTTGCTTTTTAATGATATTTTTTGTAGGTATTCTCTCACAAGAAATTCGTGCTGAAGCATATTTTTTCAGATTAACCTCTTTGCATGGTCTTTTTAACGAATCAAAGTTAATGATTGAGTTATCCTCAGACTCTTTGTGCTGAGAAATTTGAACTAACTTCTCTCAGAAACTATTTTGGTTTCTCGTGAGAGTGTGGTTCACTTTAATCTTCTTTTGAGGAGGTTTTACTGAAGTTAATGCTTTTTCCTTCTGTATAAAATTTACAGAGGCTTTCTTGTTATTAAAAGAAGAGTAGTTTTCCATTTTTGAACTGAGGTATGAACTATAATACTGTAACTTAAGGTCATGATCATCTTCATGCTCTTCTATGTCATTAAAAGACTCATTCTCTTGAATATCTTGTAGCTCTAAATAATGATAGTTCAAAGCTTACCTGTATCAAAACTTTCAAGAAATTCATCTATGAAGTCAGACTCTGTCTCCATATTTTGAGTCTCTGATTTATCAATTCAGTATTCTTCTAAATTTCTTTGTCTCTTTGTTTTAGTGTTATTGCCAATATGTGGCTTTAGGATTTCTGGCTCTGTAGAAATATTGACTCTCTCAGTAGTTTCCTCAACAAAAATTTCCTCTTCAAAGGGGTCATTTTTAGTTTCGTCGATGTCGAAATCATTGCTGGAGTACTGGGAACTCATAAATTTAGGCTCTTTGGAAGAAATCTCTTCTTTAGGAAGTTCAAACTGAGTCTCTTTAGTTAATTTACTAGTATTCAAGTCGTTTATTCTATCAGAAATTTTATACTGAGTTGACACTAAGCTTCAATCTCAACTCTCAGAGGTCTCTGAAGCAGCTTTATAGAAAGAATAACCTTTGTAGGTGGACTCTTGAAGGGAGACATTGATGCTCCCGGATTGTTTCTCTCCATAAAGTCCTTCAGGGAACTCATTTAGTTCGGTAATAGTATGTCTGTCTAACAATATTTCATGATTTACACTCTCTTTGCTTTCTAAATGCATAAGAAAATATTTACCATTCTTTAGAATATCGTTGATTGGGAAATAGTTCTCGGGATTTTCTTCAATCTGTGTTTTCAGGTAATCTGTATCAAAATAGAACTCATCCTTTTCAGGAATGAAAGGTGGAACATATCTTTTCTCAGCTAGTGCATCAAAGTCAATAGTTTCACAGAATGGATGAAATTTGATCTCTCCTATTCCATCAATAGCTCCTAGTCTTTCATTAGGGTTCTTTTTAAGAAGTCTTTTGAGTAAATCTTTTGCTTCAAAACTCAAGTAGTCAGGTAATGTCAGCTTATTATTTCAAATATTGTGAAACAACTCATTTCTATCTTGAGAATAATGAGGAGGAAGCCCAGTCAGGAATTCATAAAGTAAAGCTCCTAATGAGTAAATGTCTATGCTGAATCCATGACCTGTCTCTTCAAGCATTTCTGGACTCATGTACTCAGGGCTCCCTCAAAATGAATGTGAGAGAGTGTCCCTTGTAAAATTTGTTTTACTTAATCCAAAGTCAGTTAAGACAACATGCCCCTCTATATCAAGTAAGATATTTTCAGGTTTTAAGTCTCTGTAAATGACTCCATTATTGTGTAGATATTCCAATGCTAGTAAGACTTCTCAGAAGTAGAACCTAGCAATCTCCTCATCTAATTTGCCATTTCTACTGAGATGATAAAAGAATTCTCCTCCAGGGCAGTAATCAAGAACCATATGAAGGTAATCATTCTAAATATAAAGTTACAGAATTACCGATTTGAATGCCCAATGAAGGTTAATAAGGAAGGGATGATCAATCATTTTTAAGATATTCCTCTCAGCCATGATCTGTTTAATTTTGGATTTATTTCTCAATCATTGACTTTTGGATAATCTTCATCGCATAGAACTCTTGAGTATCCTTTTTCATAACTATAAGCTATCCTTCAGACAAATACCTTCAACTACAGTTGAGAATCCTCCAATTCCAATACATCTTTTGATTTCAAAGTCTTCAAGGGTGATTCTTTGATTCTTTTTAACCTTTATCTGTCTAAAACCATCATATTAATTCCTACCTATCCGGTTGCTTTACTTCTGTATTTCTCTCTTCAGTCAGGTCAATATATACACTCTCTACTGGTCATGCTTTCTTGATCTACAGAAAATCATAAATCTTAGCACTAATAAAATCTTCTTTAAAAGCCCGTTGAGCAATTATTCCACAAAGCCAAGGTGACTCTTTTGCAAAGCCTAAATAACCTCGCTTGGCCTCTAGTAGTGAGGAAGCCTTTCTCTTTAGCACCAAGAGGAATATGGCTGATTTAATTTTACTGTTGGAAATTGGAAAATACAAACTCACTGGCGTACAAGTTAGAGATATGAAGCATTAAGTCCAAAGAAATTAGGGTGGAATATAAGGGAAGGCGACAGATAGAGTCCTTGCTATAAGTTAAGAAATACGAAAGGTAGGTCAACATTAATTGATTCTCTTCTTTGGCATTAAACGATACCAGAATTCATAGATCCTTAGCCTGCTTACCTGCTTGGTAGAATCTGTTTGAAAGGCTTTCTTAGGACTTATATATCTTTTCTCCTGATAATTTGATACTCTTCATTATTTGCCTGTTTAGATATCCAATCTGGCTCGTTTGTTCCTTCATGATTGTTTGCTTCTTTAGGTTTTATCTCAAGTGAATGGTTTGAACCCATTTTCAAAAGTAATTTCAATATTTAATTTCATAGTTGGGGTTTTGGGGTTTTGGGGTTTTGGGGTTTTGGGG